GCCTGTGCGCCAGGTGGCCGGCTGCAGGGCGTGGGAACGCGTCTCAGGGAGGCTGTCAAGAAAAGCGGACCCTAAAAATGGGCCCCCCTTGAGCGTCAGCCGCAGACGGCAGTCCCCCCCGGGAACCGACGCCCGGGTCCCCTCTGCTGCTCCGAGCGCTGAGCGGCCCGCACCCCACCAGGTACAAGCTCGGCTTCTGCCGCTTCTGCACGGTCAAGTACACCCCCAGCACCAGCGAGCTGGACAACATGTTCGTCCATCTCACCAACGTGGCCATTCAGAAACACGGGGTACGTGCGCCCCCGGGCCTGACAGGTCCTGCCTCCTTCCTCTGGGCAGTGGGGTCGGCGGAGGGGTGTCCAGGGCCCCGCGGCCTGGTCCTGCCTCAGCTGACCCAGCCCGAGGGTGCGGCACCCGGACACGGAGGGCCCAGGGCCAGGCCCGGGAGGCTTTGGGCGAGTGACTTGGCTTCACTTTCTGCCCCTGTGACAGCTAGTCGCCCTCGTGCGTGCTGGGCGAAGCTGCAGGAGGCACGCCCAGTCGCTCTGCACTCCCGAGCGCTCGCTGGCCTGTGCGGTGGGTCCCTGCCGAGCACGGGGCTCCGGGATGGGCAGAACCCTCGCTGCTCCCCCCGGAGCCTTGGCCTGTCGGGGAGACCGACCAGGTGGCCACAGCCATGAGCGTCGGTCACAGCCAGAGACAGTGCTCAGGATAAGGCGCACAGGCCCGCGAGAGCGCGGGACGGCCAGTGCCCCCGTCCGGGCGGTCAGAGCGGCCTTCCAGGCAGAGGGCCTGGGCCAAGACTGAAGGGAGCGGGACTGGCCAGGGGAGGTGGGAGATGCGGCCAGGGGGAGGTGCGGCAGGACCAAAGCCCCGTGGGGGAAGGAGCTCGCGGGCGCTGGAAGGAGGTTGGCGGCCGGGGCCTGGTGTGAGGGCGTGGAGCGAGAGGCCGTAGAGGCCACCGCGGAGGACGCTGTCGTGTCGTGCAGGCCCGGACAGGCTCGAGCCGGCCCTGTCTTAAGTCCGAGGCTTCCTGAGTCCTGTCTGAGCGGAGGCCTGAGTGCTCCGGCTTGGCCGCCTTTGGGTGGAAAGAGGGGACGCGCTGGCACAGAACAGGCTTTCTGGGGGACTGCTGAAGAGCCCGGTCCCTCGCCTGGACGTGTCCCCCGTCACTCAGTCGCCTGTGACTGGGGCAGGTCTCCCTGGGCCGCTCGCCTGCAGCAAGCCCCAGGTTGACTCCGCTGTGTGTGAAATGCCGCCGGGTGGCTGGGGCCGCCCCACCTACATGGCGCCGCCGTTTGCCGGCCGTGAGGCGCGCGGGAAGGACGCGGCCAGGGTTGATGAGTGAGAACTGGGAAGTGACCTTGCAGGCGCCTGCATGAGACTCACCCCCTCTGCCGGCCGAGCCGTGGCCACGGGCCCTGCCGGGCCGAGGAACCGGTGGCGTCCGGGCGTGGGGCGGCCCGGGAGACCCCTCCCGCCCGTGCACTTGGCGCCCAGAGAGCCGTGCCCAGCTGCACCCCGGGGTGGCCGTCTGAGGTTGAGGGTTCGCATCACTGAGAAAGACACCGGGGGAGGAGAGCAGAGCGGGGTTGGTGGGGGGGGGTCGCGTCACGCCCACCTCTGCTCCCCCTCACCGCTGGCGTTTCTGTGGGGTCCGTGGCGACGGCAGAGGCCGTTTGCTGGGGGAACCGCGGACCGGGGCGGTGCTTGTGGGATGTGGGCGGGCAGGAGGTGTGGGCAGGGGCTCGGGGCTGCGAGGCCTGAGGCGCCCCCTTCCCCAGGAGGACTACAACCACATCCACGGGGGCAAGTGGACCGTGAGCAACCTGCGGCTCTACCTGGAGAGCACCCGCGGCAAGGAGGTGACCAGCAAGCTGTTCGACGAGATCCACTGGGTCATCGTGCAGTCGCTGAAGGCCGTGGCGGTGAGTCCGGCGGGCGGGC